ATCATCAATGTAGGCCTCGCATCCCTCGAGGTCTTGAAGGAGGGAGTGAATCATCCTTTGGAATGTAGCCGGTGCGTTTTTCATGCCAAAAGGCATTACTTTATACTGGTAAAGTCCATCTGGTGTAGCAAAAGCAGATATTTCTTTTGCCCTTTCTGTTAACGGCACTTGCCAGTAGCCTTTCAACAGGTCAAATTTACTGACAAATTTGGCGTTTCCAATGCTGTCAATACAGTCATCAATTCTAGGTATTGGATATGAATCAGTTTTGGTAACAGAATTCACCTTTCTAAAGTCTGTACATAATCGGTAGGAACCGTCCTGTTTTGGTACAAGAATACACGGTGAGCTCCAATTACTTTTACTAGGTTCAACAATGTCATTGTCCAACATATACTGCACTTCCCTTCTTAGGTACTGCAATTTTATTGGATTGAGACGGTACGGATGTTGTTTGATAGGCAGAGCGTCGCCAACTATAACATCATGACAAGCTGCATTAGTTTTCTTTGGAACATCCGAGAAGATTTGATGGTACTCATTCATCAAGTTTTTAACTTGTTCTTTTTGGTGAATGTTCAAATGTCCAAGTTTGGCATCAAAATCAGCCAAAATTTCTGAGTTTTTCAAGTGGACACTCTGATTACAATCTTTCTCATTCATCTCTACACTCGTATCACTCTCAATACAATTTTGAACAGTCTTAGCGTTTCCAGTGGAAACTGGTTTTACAGAATTTCGGTCACTCCTTTCAAAATACTCTTTTAATATGTTAATGTGACAAACCCGTTTCTCTTTACGTCGACCTGGTGTCTTAACTACATAGTTTACATCACTGATCTTGCTTTCAATTTCATAAGGGCCATAAAATCAGGCCTGTAAAGGATTACCAGGAATAGGTAAAAATACAAGAACCTTATCACCTGGCTTAAACACCCTATTTCTGGCATCTTTGTCATACCACATTTTCATTTTCATCTGAGAACTCTTCAAATTTTCTTGTGCTAATTTACAAGCATTGTAAAGTTTTTCTTTGAAATCAGACACATAATCTAAAAGATTAAGATCACTAGTCTCAGTCAGCCACTTTTCCTTTAACAATTTCAAAGGACCTCTAACTGTATGACCGAACACCAATTCAAAAGGACTGAACCCAAGAGACTCCTGGACTGCTTCTCGTGCAGCAAATAGCACAAGATGAACCCCTTCGTCCCAGTCTTTCTCATACTGGTAACAATAGGTCTTCAGCATTGTTTTTAGGGTTTGATGAAAACGTTCTAGCGCTCCCTGGGACTCAGGATGATAAGCAGTTGATCTATATTGCCTTATACCCAACTCATGCATGACTTGCTGGAACAACCCCGACATAAAATTTGAGCCTTGATCCGACTGAATTGCCTTGGGTGCTCCTACAAAACTGAAAAACTTGGTTAGGGCCTTAACTATGCTCTTTGCCTTTATATTCCTAAGAGGTATGGCTTCAGGAAACCGAGTGGATGTACACATAATGGTAAGTAAATACTGGTTTCCAGATCTAGTCCTAGGCAAAGGTCCTACACAATCGACCAACACTCGACTAAACGGTTCTTCAAAAGCTGGAATGGGTTGAAGAGGAGCAGATGGTATCTTCTGATTTGGTTTACCTACCATCTGACAGACATGGCATGACTTGCAAAACTTCGAAACATCTTTTCTTAGCTTAGGCCAATAAAAATGACTTAAAATCCCGTTATAAGTCTTATTGATACCTAAATGACCAGCCATAGGTGTATCGTGAGCTAAACTCATGACATCTCGACGATAAGCAGCTGGGACCACTATCTGGTGAACAACACGCCACACTTTATCTGAGGAAGCGTCAGGTGGTCGCCATTTTCGCATAAGGATACCATCTTTCATATAGAAGCATTCTCCAACTTTAGTGGCCTCTTCTGGTGGTAGTGCCCTCTTACTCAGTTTGATGATATCTGGGTCTTTATGTTGTGCTGAAAGTAACTGCTCTTGGCTTATGATATCCTTGTCTTGGCTTTCTGGTAGATTTGACTCAACTTCATCACCACTAAATTTTGGTAAAGGTTCATTCGTCACCGGCTTCTTGATACTGTGTGGTTCCATGCTTGTCTGAGTGCCATCAAGGTCAGATAAGAAAGTGTCATTCAAATCAATATCAATAGAGGAATTCGTCTCGTCAAAGCACTACTGGACGAAAAAAGTGCTGAGAATCCCAAATTTTACTTATAAAGTTTGATAATTACTGATACTGTGCTGTTGTTGCTGATAAATACTGATATTTACTGTTATTATTACTGTTGTTGCTGATATTTTTTGTTGTTTCTGATAAATACTGATAATTACTGTTGCCTTTTACTGTTAAGTCTGATAAATACTGATAAATACTGTTGAGGTACTGTCGTTGCTGAGAATTGCTGATAATTACTGTTGAGGTACTGTCGATGCTGAGATTTACTGATATTTACTGTGGTCATTGTTTTTCACCTGGTAATTGGTTTAAAATAAAACAGAGGGCTATAAAAACCTTCAATTATTACTTTCTTTTACTTGAATTGTCATGGCAAAATTTTCATATTTTTTTAAATGTTCTGCTTGTGGCAAAATTACATGACTGTATGTATGTATGCTGATTTCAATTTATACATTACGTTAACTTTGTGAAAATTTTGACAATAATCAAATAAATTATTAATAGAATGAATATATAGAACTAGTATTAATTAAAAAAAAATAACTGCAGAAAAAAAATGGAATTTTACTTTTGCATGAGATCTTATTGAAAAATAAACTGTAAATAAAAAGAAAATTATGCCATCTTAAAAAAGATCCATCGCCGCCTTTCCCGACTCCAAGAAAATTGTGTAGGGAGATCGGTGATCTTTTTTTTTCAATAATAATTCTTAATGGATGGGAAAAAAATCGGGATAAAAAAAGTTTCCTGCAGGTTAGAAAAGTTTGATTTGTTCCGTTTTCACTAGGCCAACTGGTCGAGTTTGGACAACATTTTGTTTTTGAAGGCTTTTTTTTCTCGAAAACAATTATATTTATTTTGTTAAATGTTCAGTTTTCTGGTCTCTTTTCGTCAAAATATTTGAAAATTTGCTCGAAAATTAGAAATTTTATTTATTCCTTTTAAAAAGTAACTAAGAGGTGAAAACAGGTTTGAATATGTTCAATCTGTGGGCACTGATTTTAATTAATTATTTATTCATTTATTTTAATTATATGTAGACGTTTGTAGATCGTCCAAGAATTAAACTCCTCCACATGTACAAGTACACACTGTATGCATGTGCAACCGGCAAATGGGGCGAGCTGATTAAAAATTAGAGGTTAAGAATCCCTAGTACAAAGGTACACGTGTTTAGTTTGTCTCTTAAAATTTAAATACAAAATCATTTTTTATTTAATCAGTTTTGAAATCTCATTAATTTTTTTATTTGATTTTATGGAATGGGAAATAAGAACTGAAACGACCCCTAATGTAGATTTTCCAAAGGGTTTGGAAAAGTTTTGGAATTCCATGGAATTCCATTCGTTTCCATACCAAAGTCGCAAAGTGTGTCTGGAAGTTTTTGGAATATTTTGGAATTTGAAAAAACAAATGGACTTAGACATTTTTTGCTTTGGAAAGTAGTGGAATTCTTTGGAAAAAATGATAAAATGAGAAACTTAGCCATTTTCTGCACTGGAAAACTGTGGAAAATTACTTAGAATTTTTTTAACTGTCGACCAATAGTACAATAACATTGGGATCGAAGTCGGGCTCGATGAACAATTAATTTAAACAACAAGCCGAAATTCAAAAATATCGAATGCCATGTTCATGTTGCACAGAAGGAAAGTTGGAAAGAGAGTGTCTAGAACAGGGGAATCATGATTAGCTTTAGATGGAAGAAGATGAAGACATTTTAAGACCCGGTAGGTACAATATTGTACAGTATTTTATGTGTCCTTGAATGAAGATCGCTTTTGCTACTGTTCATTAGTCTGCCTCTGGGCACCAAACATAAACTGCCTGACGGTGAAATCGTTAGTGCACTATTTCAATTTTGTAATAATTATTTAAAAACTCTAAACATCTCATTAAGATCATGGATTTTAACCCGAATGTCCTCGTTTGGGATCGAACTTATGTAAAGAATTTTACCTATACGTTACTTTGTTCAAGTTAAGATAACATTAATTTACAGAGTATGATGTACAATGTAATTAATTATATGTATTTTAAGGCATGTTCATGATCATTTTCAGCTCTTATTTTAATTATTTTATAGCTGTTGCTGCATTGTGCCTGAGATGATCCCCTCAGCGCTGGCGTTTGATAACTTGGTGGATGTAGATGCTTAGCCAGTCAGTCTCTAGGCTTGTGAATATGGTGAGAACGAGCTCAAATTATCGCTCAAACCAAGTTAACTAACTCTGATTTTATTAATCCATGTCTATTAACATAATAATGTGTTCTACGGTGCGACCATTGGGGGCGAGCGCAGTTATTTACTTTCAAAATCCTTTATACAGATTTTACTTGCACTGCCTATCCTCAGTTCATTAAGAAAGAAGAACAGAATAACAAGTCAATTCCGACTTCCCAGGCATCGGGATAGAGATTCGGAAGTTTCCTACAAAATCCGAAATACCTGAGCCGTTTAAGTGACGAAAGTATGACGTCAAATAAAAAGTCCTGTTGACTCTTCACCGCAAAGGATTATTGGGAGTTTGGAATTTTTTCACGCTGTGAGATAAAAATTTCTTGGAACGACGTGAAGATTTCAACCCAAATTTCCTCCGTTCATACACGTTATAGTATATTGAGCTCGCTACACGACGCTCGCTGCCATCGCTATTAAAAAAATTATTGCAACTTTGCCAAGTAAACAAAATTTAAAGGTTATATTCTTAACACGCTTAAATTCCTTATTCAGATAATTAATAACAATGCATTCTGACAGGTAATCTAAACATGAAAACTGCACAGACATGCCTAATTACTTTAGATCAAATAGCAATCATCTAATATGAAGTATACATGCATTTTACAGGAATCCGGGTGCTCACAAGGACAAGAGGTGTATGAAAAGAAAAACATAAAGGTAAGATTTCTGAATTATTTTTTAAATCAATAAATCACATGAATTGAAATTATCTTTTTCAGTGTTAGTCAGGCATTGAGCTTGAGCTCAAACCTTTTTGTTTTAGCTTACCTGAACCATTTAAAGGCCTAAGTGAGTTTTTTGATCAGTGTCTGATGTTGTCTGTCATCTATAAACTTTTCACATTTATACATTCATCAGAATTAATCCTAATTTGAACAAAAAATTGCAAGATAGTGAATTAATTCATATTCCATAGTAAACTGATTTGCCAGGTCAAAAAAAATCAATTGTTTTGTATAGCTTTTGTTTATTGTTTGTCATATATTTATATGGATATCAATAATGATGCATCTTAATGGTCATCTTTTCCTTTCAGAAATCGTGTAAGGATCGAAAGTTTGAAGTGTCTGTTGGAATGATCAACATCGAACTTTCTGAGCCTTCGTACTGAAAGTGAATCCGTTCGTGACACCAATTAACTGTCAACCTTCTAACATAACCATTTACTAATTTCATAGAATATCAGTGAGGAAGTGATTCTCTAGCAAACACGTCAGAAGTTTTGGATCTTCATTAATTGGGATCTTTGGCACTTACGTTGGGGGGAAATAGCATCTGTTGATTTTATGGGATCATTGTATCAATGTAGTTGTGTAGTACATATTTTTTGCATGTAATACATGTGTTTGTCACTCTAGTCAATAACTTTGTACCAGTACATAAGCATGATAAGCCACTGGCAATTCATTGTAAATGTATACTTTGTTGAGGTCTCAATGACTATTCCAATTCCATAGCCAATTTCATTTATTAAAACTTACTTCTTATTTTAGAAAATGCAGACTGGAGTTTACTAAATTCATGTATATCATAACATGATTATCATTAATTTAACCAAGGTGACTGATTCTCCGGTAATCATATTTTCTCTGTAAATAACCTTTAATGTAAAATACTTTCCGTGAGAATATTTTATGAAAGTGTGCTTATATTGTACATTTGAGAGTTATATCATATGCAATATTTGTCTCAAAAAACATTGTAAAAGAAACAATTTTTTATTTTAAAAATATAGATTTGATCTATGAAACATTGTGATGTTGTTGATTTTTTTTGTAATTATTTGGCACTAATTATTTCAGTTTTCTTTGTACATGTATTTGGAATTTGGAATCCTGGAATTCCATGGATTTCCTCCGCAAATTTCCATTCTGGCATTGTTCCGCTCTTTTCCAGGCTAGATTCAAAATTCCAAATCATTCCGAAAAAAGTTCCGTCCCAATACTCCGGAGAATTCTAAAGAATTCCGCGGAACAAAAATTCCATGGAATTCCATGGAATATGCTTTGGAATTCCATGGAAGTTGCGGAAAATCTACATTAGGGGAGACTTAATTTAATATGTTACTATTAGTATATGATCAAATTGATCGATTTTAATTTTGCATGGTAAAAAGTTGAAAGGAAAACACCTTTAAATTGATTTCAATTGATCAGGAATTGGTGATCGACCTGTGATTTGGCTGTATTGTTTACATGTCTTCAGCCCGGGGTAGAACGGGGTACAACTTGTATATTCCATGCAAATTGTAGTGGTCAGCGTAACAATGGGCACTAATTACCTATTGTTCTTCGTCTGCGGCTACCGGTGTTTTCAATAAACAAACTACCTACACTGTACATGTACTCGCTACTTTGGAACAATCTTAAAGTTCTTAAAGCACGAAAAAAAAATTCCATAATATTGAATTTGATGACGAATAAAATTGATAGAAAAAATATTCAGAATAGAACACTTTGGTACTATAATGAAAAAAAAGATACATATATGTACATCATGTACGTTGTACAGACTTATTTCATTTTTATTTCAATTCTCAAAGATCTATCTTCTTCAGTATTTAATTTCATTTTTTAGTTTTACGCATATTTCTTCAATCAATCAATCATTTATTTAAATCTTTTTACCATTTTACTTTAGTATACATAGACCACAAAAACATAAAAAATGTAGGTGGTTTTATACATAACAGTAGGTCTAAAAGGCATGCGTGAATAAGAAACTAAACAAAAAAAAATTTGTAGGTTGCTATAAATGCGAAGTAAGGGAATTTAGGCCGGGGAGTATATTTTGTTTATCAGATAAAAGAATATCCCGGGGGAGGTGGTCACATGTATTTTCAATTCTGAATCTCTGCTAACGATTGTTTGGGACCAGAGAAATTGACTTCACTTTTTAATAAAAAAAAAATGTGCAAAATATACAATCATATAGATATAAAGAGAAAGATTCTTTAGTGAAGCACTTTTTTGAAATAATATTAGCATGAATTGTTCCCAATTCAGATGCAGGGAAACTCCACTTCGCTTAATCCGAGAAAAAAAACAACTTAAATGTATGAATTTTGAATGTCAGAAACATGACGTTGTGTATCGATCGCACTCATGAATAAATGTTATAATTACTTCAGTTCTGAAATTTGTATTGTTCATTGCAATTGATTCTCTAAAATAATTTTATTCATGCATATAAAAAATTCGATAAGTATAATATCATAACTTGCATGACTTTTAAAACACACAACTAAAGAACAGACCTTGCCCTATCGGCTATCACTTAATTGTAAACAGTATTTCACCCCCTCCTTTTTGTGCTACAATCAAGTAAAATCATATAAATAAGCACCAAGTCTGTACTGTTCGTTTATACAAAGGTCTCGGACAAAAATGGAATTAAAAAAAATTATAATCACAGCACACAATTCTAATTTTACAAAAACGCAAGCCGTAACGATATCCCTGTGGCAGAATGTACTAATAATTGACCCGATTCTAAAACGAAAGTAGAACTTTTACACGTGGTTGACAGGTATGTTTAATAACAACAAGCACAAAGTTTGCATTAATGGAAAAAGTTAATTCAAGTTATGATTTATTTTATTTAGTTTTTTAACTGACTGACCGCATATAACATGTTTAAGGAGTGGCGCATAATATTAGAAGCCATATGCCCATAGACTTAAAACTGTATACAATGAAAAAAGAATTAGCCTAAAGAAAGACGTATATTTCATTGACTGAAAATCACACTGCATAAGATTTATGTCATGTAGTGTACAATACTTAAGCCTTAACAAATAATTTAAAAGAGAGTGTGTGAGAGAGAGAGAGAGAAAGCTAGAAAGCGACACGATATAAAATTCGCAGGGAGGACATCGGAGAACTAGAGCGCGCTGTCAACATAATATATATATAAAAAAATAATTAAAGATGATTCAATTTAATTATATAACCCTGTCACATTCTTCTATAAAATAACAAAGTGTACGCTTCAAGACTAGATTTCATGAAAAATATTTAATACTGTAGTCGTCTTGTTAAATGAGAGCTTAATTTAAAAGTAATTGGAAAAGGGGGGGGGATTCAACTTAATGTGCTCATGCATTTTCAGTTCTCCACACGGTAAAATAAATTGATATTTACAACCATTGACTGTATTGAAGTATTAAAGATACCCACAAAAAGCTTTTGATGACAGTACACATACATGTGAGAAAAATATGAGATGATATTTTTTTTAACCTTTATGAACAAAAATTAAACTTTTTAAAAAAGTACTTGGGAAGAAAAACCACTGCAAATAAAACAGAATAATTTTCCTCAGATAATGTCATCTACGTGTATGGAGAAATTTAAAGAAAAAACATAAATATTTATGAAAGCTTATGTTAACATTATGGTCTAAAAATAATTAAAATGAAATTAATAGATGAAAACTGAATACAAATTAATAAAATGTGACTTTTTTATTTAGAATAATTTATTTTGTAATTGACTGTAATGAATTTGTTAAAATACTTAAAAAAAAAACAACAACAAATAATCATTTCTTAAGCTTTTTTAATCCATTCCCAGGTTAAAAACAATGACCACAGTAATTATCAGTAAATCTCAGCATCGACAGTACCTCAACAGTAATTATCAGCAATTCTCAGCAGCGACAGTACCTCAACAGTATTTATCAGTATTTATCAGACTCCACAGTAAAAGACGACAGTAATTATCAGTATTTATCAGCAACAACTAAAATTATCAGCAACAACAGTAATAATAACAGTAAATATCAGTAATTATCAGCAAGAACAGCACCGTATCAGTAATTATCAAACATTATCAGTAAAATTTGGGATTCTCAGCACTTTTTTCGTCCAGTAGTGAAGGCTTGAGTATGGTCTGCCTCCATTTCTCGTCTTCTGGCCATCGCTCTAGTAACAGCACAGGCTGGATAAATGTCATCATCTTCATCATCGCACATAACATCTGGAGTAATTTTCTCACAAACTATAGGATCTGGTACAACTTTTCCACCAGCTAAATCGTTGCCTAGCAACAAAGAAATGCCTGGAACGGGAAGAGTAGGTCGAACACCTACGATAACAGGTCCAGTAACTAAATCTGACTTCAAAAAAAATCTATGCAGGGGAACATCAATGACGCCTACAGCTCCACACCCTGTAATAAAACTGACCCACCAGTAGAAGTCTGCTCAGACAAAGGAAGCACGCCCTCTAACAATAACGTCTGTGCAGCACCAGTATCTCTCAAAATCTGGACAGGTTTTATTTCGCTAGAGTCACCGAGTGAAACAAATCCCTGAGACATAAAGGGCTTATAATCCTCCATAGAATCAATAGAACTGGACTGTGAACCCTGAACATCAGGAGTGTCAGAACAAATCGAAACTGAGGCTTCTCTATCACCTCTAACTGCCGCACAAGCATGTGGTTGAGTTTTATCAAAATCATTTTTTCTCTTAAGTTTAAAGCATTCACTGATCAGATGACCTTTTTTCTTACAATAACTACAAGTAGGAAGGGACCCTATTCCAGACGATCCTTCAACACGTCCTGGACCGGACTTAAAACCACCTTGAGATGGAGACTGGAGACTTGTGGAAGACTGAGAACCTGAACCACTCTTTTTATATGTGTCTGAATTGGTAGAATTACTGCTAGTCTGAGATCTTGATACAAAATTCTTTTTATGAGACAGAGCATAAGTATCAGATATGAATGCTGCCTCTTCAAGAGTTTTCACATTCTTATCTTCTAAATGTGTTTTCAAATCTTGAGGAACACATTCCTTAAACTCTTCTACCAGGATGACTTGGCGCAAATTAGCAAAAGTTTTATCAAGTTTCTTAGATCTAAACCAGTGATCGAATAAATCTTCTTTCTCTCGTGAAAATTCAACAAATGTTTGATTATCAAACTTTCTATACTTTCTGAATTTTTGTCTATACGCTTCAGGTACTAATTCATATGCTTTTAATATTGCTGCTTTGACCTTCTCATAGTCTGAACTCTCAGCTACCCCTAGTGCAGAGTATACCTCAGCTGCTTTGCCAACCAGTACACTTTGTAACATTGTTGACCAAACGTGTTGTGGCCATTTAAGATTCTCTGCGACTTTTTCGAATTGGGGAAAATATTTGTCTACAGATTTTTCTTGAAATTTCGGAACTAACCTAATATTTTTTGCTGCGTCAAATTCAGTTTTGACAACTGACGGTTCTGGTTGGTTTTGTAATTTTAATTTCTCTAATTCAAAGTTCATTTCACGCTCTCTTTCTCGCTCTTCTCTTTCTGCTGCTAATTTGTCTAATTGAAATTTCGTTCACGCTCTCGTTCTTCTATTTCTCTTTCTCTTTGTCTTTCTCTCTCTTCTCTTTCTAATTTTTCTCTTTCAAATCGCATTTTCTCTATCTCTACTTGAAACTGATATTCTGCCATTTTATAAAAGCCTAACTCTGATTTAACTGTATATTCTGGAAGATCGTATTTTTCAAAGACGTTTTCTTTTAGTAGTTTATTTGCAACCTTAATTCTAATGTCTTGCTTTCTCTGAGAGGATTTAACATCTAACCCAAAATGCAAACCTAATGCGATCAAGTCATCCTTTTTTAACGTATCAAAAACCTGAACACTTGATG